CTTAACCTCATTGCCTACCCCCCCCCAAAAAAAAGGACCTAGACAAATTAGAATATATCCAGAGCTGGGGAGTAAGGAAGGAATGGAACTTAGGAACCAATTAAGGAGTCAGCCGTTCAACTAGCATTTATTAAGCACCTACTGTATGCTAGGCCCTATACTAATTACTAAAAGGAAATGAAGATGACTTGTCTGGAGGAGAGATTAAGCGGGGAAATGATAGTATAAACAGATATATGGAGGTCTATTATGTACAAGAGGGAGTAAACTTACTCTGTTTTGCTGTAGAAGGGCAGAACTAGGAGCACTAGGAACAGTAGGTAAATAAAACTAATAATCTTTTTTTTTTTTTTGCGAGGCAGTTGGGGTTAAAGTAACTTGGCCAGAGTCACACAGCTAGTAAGTGTCTGAGGCCAGATTTGAATTCGGGTCCTCCTGACTCCAGGGCCAATGCTCTATCCACTGTACCACCTAGCTGCCCCTGAATAATATCTAAATAGTGGGATCATTGGGTTATAGAATTAGAAATCAAAGGGACCGTCAGACCTTTTTTTTTTTAATAGATTTTAGAGATTAGTCAACTGAAGCTCAGAACAGTCATTCGGTAAGTGATAGAATTGCAATTCGAATCCCAGTCCTCTGACTCCTGCTCCAGCATTCTTTCCACTGTACCATGATGCCTCTCTTGAATCTGTGAAACCCTTTTACATTTAACAAAGTGCTTTCATAGATGGCGTCCCAAAAGTCTTAGTGCAGTTTTAGGGCCTTAATTACTTCAGACCTACACACTTATACACTACAGACTTATCCAAAAAAAATCATTTGAAAGGATGACTATCTAAAATTTTGAAAATATTGATGTTTCTTATTAAAATTCATCATCTTATGCTGTAAAAATTGAATCTAATCGATTTTTGAATTTGGTACTGCTCTGTGACCGAAAGGATTTGCATTTGTCATCAAGCCTTAAGATCTTTAGTCTTACTTAGGAGGGAATGAAATGAAAACTAAAATTAAAATGCATTATTCAAAATTTATACAACTAAATAAGAACAAAGGAAATTTGAATAATTCAACTTTCAAATGATTTCTTATGTTAAGTTTGTAGCATTTATGCTTCTGAACTTATTAAAGCTTAAAACTACACTAAGACTTTTGGGTTGTGCTGTATATTCTCTCTCTCTCTCTCTCTCTCTCTCTCTCTCTGGCAATCAGGGTTAAGTGACTTGCCCAGGGTCACACAGCTAGATAGTGTCTGAGGTCAAACTTGAACTCAGGTCCTCCTGCTTCCAGGGCCGACACTCACTCTACTTCACCACTTAGCTGCTCCTTAATCTTGTTTGATCCTTAGAGTAAATCTGTAAATGGGCAGTTGGAATTATCCTTATTCTTATGGATGGGGAAACTAGGGCTTCAGGAATTTTAATGATTTTTTTCAAGGTCACATAGCTATTAAAGAGTGGACCCAAGATTCCAACCCAGGTCTTATTGTAAGGAAGGAGTTGAATTCCAGGCTTAGGAGATGACCAGAAAAAAAGGCATGGAGACAGGGGAAATGGAGATTCTTGTATGAATGACCAAGAGAAAGCCACCTTGGCTGGATCACAGAATTTTAGAGGGGGAGTAAGGTGCAATGAGTCTGGAAAGGCAAGCTGGGCCCAGTCATGAAGCTCTACTTAAAAGCTAGGTAAAGGAGTTTGCATTTGTAGTAGAGCCAATGGAGTTGGTAGAATAGGGTAATGTCATGGTCAGATCTGTGCTTAAGGAAAATCACTTTTGAAGTAGTGTGGAGGCTGGATTGTAGAGGGGAGAGACTTGATACAGGGAAGACAGTCAGAGGCGGTTGTAATTATCTAGGTGAAAGGTAAGGAGGGCCTGGCCTAATGTAGTGGCTGTGTGTCCTCCTCAAGCTACTCTCTACTCAAGGGAGAAAAACTTCAGTAAGTTTGAGGGCTTGGAGCTCTGAAATGTATGATGTGAATGGAAGTCCTTATCAGAATTCCCTCTGCCAGCCTTTGAGAGACCAGGGAACCTTTGGACCTCTAGGGAAGGCACAGCTGGGAGGTAGAAACTCACAGTGATGTTGTTTGTTTGATTCAACACCAAATTCTATAAAAATTCAAGGAGGAATCTAACCTAGTCTATCTAAAGCCACAGCCAGAAAAAGAGCGGAGATGGCCAAGATAGTTGTACCAGTGACTAGAAAGAAACTTTCCACGTTTCCCAGTGTAGGCAGCCTGAGCTCTGGGAGTGTGAGAGCTGCCCTACCTCCTGGTAGTAGGTCTGGCTGCAAAGGCAGGATGTGTCCTCAGATGCCTTGGTTATTTTCAGAGTGAGTGTTAAATCCCAATCCCAGGACATCTAAGGAGGTATGACAGACGCTGGGAGCAGTGTCTGTGTAGTAAATTCTGTTCTAATAAAGGTATACACAGATGCTGTTAAATTACAGCTGTCCAACCCTTGTACTGAATGGGCTCTGAATGAGGCAGGAACTTTCCCCTTTTAGGGTCTAAAATAAATCACCTCTTTTATCAACAGCCTTTAGAAGATGGAAACTGTATTTCAGTTTCACATTCCTTAGCTGAGCATGTCCTTAGCTTTTCATGTGACCTTGTACCAAATGCAGGATCCCAACAGCAATGAGCTACCACGTAAAACACATTTGTTCTCAGGAAGTCCTGCGTAAACAGTAAAGCCTCGGGGAGCCCTCTCTGTCCTGTGTACCCTGAAGCCAGCTCCAGGGACTTCAGAGTTGACGCCCAAGGAAGTTTACCTTTTCTTCTGAGGTTCTATTTATTTGATTTTCTTTAAATTTTTTTTTATTATAAACTTAATAACCCCTTAAATAAATGTACAGAATAAGGAGCTGGGAGAGATCTTAGAGATTATATCATATTACAGATGAAACAGTTACAATGACCAAGACAAACAAATTAATGTGCAAAATAAGGAATGGGATCTTACACAAAACCTTTAGCATTTAACAAAGTAGAACCAGATACATTAATAGATGACTGGTAGACAAAAGATGCTTTTCTGTGTCCCTTTCTGAAACAGCCTGAAGTTCCACTACCTTTCATTTTTCTTTCTCCCTTTATTTTTCCTTTTTTTCCTTGTCCCTTCCTTCCCTTTCTATTACTTCTTTCCTTCTTCCCTCTTTCCTTTCTTCCTTCCCTGACTTCTTCCTTTTTTCTTCCCACCATCCTTCCCTTGTTTCTTCCTTTCCCCCTTCCACTTGTTACCTGACTTGTTCCTTTCTTTCTACCCATCCTGCCCATTGCTGGCTTCTTCCTACCCTTCTTCCCTCGTTTCTTCCTTTCCTCTCTCCTCTTCTTTTTTGTCCTCCCACTTCACTTTCTTCTTCCTTTATTACTTCTCTTCTCCTTTCCCTCCTTCTAGTGTCAGTCCATGTAGATGCAATTCTGGTTCTGCCAAACTTGCTTTGCATCACTTTTTTGTACGTTTCATGTTAAATTTTTTATGGAGCCATGATATTCCATTAGCATGTCATAATTTATTCATCCATCCTATAGTTAGTGGGCATATAGGTTATTTGGTTTTTTTGCTATTATACATAAATCAGCTATTATTATTTTTGCAAAGGTAAGTCCTGTTTTTTCTTTTTATGATTTTTTTTTTAGGTTAGAATCCTAGCCATGGAATTGTTGGGTCAAAAGGCATGATCAGTTTTTATGACTTGTCTATTGCAGCGGTATTTCTAAATAATTTAATGTTATGAAACCTAAGCACTTAGCTGTCAGTTCCCTGCCCTGTGTGCAGGAACCAATCTTAAAATACTGTGGGTTGAAATGGATACCATGGGCCCTGCCCTTAGTGAGCTTACAGTCTGGTTGTTCATAAAATAGAATATACTGAGAATGATAGAGACAAAGCTAAGTTAATTGCTGGATTTTCAAATGGGGCTGCAAACTTAATGAAAAATTAATGTAAAGCATTTGCAAGTGAAAATTTCTTGGTCTCTCTCTCTTTCTCTGTTGCTTCCTTATCAGGTATTGGCAGGGGAGGAATTACATGATTTAATGTTCTTTTTCAACAATGTAACTTAAAATTACATCCTAGAGGGAGACCTAACTAAGAATCTAAGACAGAAGAATGAATGTGATGTCTCAGTAGGGTCACTTTTATGGTACATGACTAGAAGTAGGGTGATTTTCTGTGTGGTTCTTTAAGAAAAATGGCAGCAACATACAGACTAGCATCAGTGCCCCTAAATTTCCTGGTACAGTCAAGAAAATTGCTATATTTTGGAGCAGCTAGGTAGTGCAGTGGATAGACCTCCGGCTTTGAAATCAGGAGGACCTGAGTTCAAATCTGGCCTCAGACACTTGATACTTACTAGGTTTGTAACCCTGGGCAAGCCACTTAACCCCAATTGCTTCACCAAAAAGCAAAATAAATAAATAAATGAAGTTGTTAGATTTTGCCAGAGAATGGATCTTGTGAGATGGCAATATCACAGAATCTTAGAATTCTAGAGGTAGGAAGATCTTAGGAATCATCTTGGTTAGTCTCTTTATTTTATGGATGAAAAGACTTGGGCCCAGAGAGGCCATGATCTACCCAAAGTCACCTGGCTGGTGTATGGTACCATCAGCTCATCAGTAAACATTTATTAAGTGCCTGCTACGTGCTGGGTACTATGCTAAGCTCCAGGGATAAAAAGAATAGCAAACGACAGTCTTTGCCTTTGGGGAGTTCACTATCTACTGGGGGAGATGACATGTAAACAACTACATTAAAAAAAAACCCAACAACCTGTATACAGGATAAATGGGAAATACACAACAGAGGAAAACACTAAGGTTAACAGGGATTAGGAAAGGTTTCCTACAGAAGGTGGTATTTTAGCTGGGACTTGAAGGAAGTCAGGGAAGCCGGGGGTGTCTCAATGAATTTTTTTCCCCCAATACAGCATATGTCTCTCAGTGTCATACTGGCACCCAGAGCCTGATATTGAGTCCCATTTTTGCCTCTCCTAGGCCTATGAAAAACGTTTTCCGACATGCCCCCAGATACCTGTGTTCTTGGGCAGTGAGATCATTCATGAATCCAAGAGCCGGGATGGATCCATTCACATTGTTGAGCGCAGCTGCAAACTGACTGTAGATGCACCACGGTTATTGAAGAAGGTAGGTCTTTAAACTCTTTTCTTGGTTCCCAGTGTCCCTGAGACAGGAGGCTATGAACCATGATTGCTTTCTTCTGTGTTATTTGCCCCATTATCCGATTTCTCTTATAGATTGCTGGGGTCGAGTATGTTATCTTTGTGCAGAAAAATGTTTTAAATCGGAAGGATCGAACTCTTCTTATTGAGGCCCACAATGAGACATTTGCCAATCGAGTCATTGTTCTTGAGAACTGCAGCTACACTGTAAGTGGTCCATGATGCAGACTTTGTCTCTCTTCCTTGGGAAAGGTGTCGTTATGTGGGTTTGTTTCCCACCACCAGTGGCCATTGCTATGTGAAACTTTCCCTGGAAAGCTAGTCGTATAAGACTGGATTTAAGAGTAGGATCATAGATCTAAAGCAAGGGTGTGGAACCTGTGACCTTGAGGCCATATGTGGCCTTTTGACTTAGTCTCAGTTTTACAGAACAAATTTTTTTTTACCTTTTTGGTGAGGCAATCGGGGTTAAGTGACTTGCCCAGGGTCACACAGCTAGTAAGCTGTCATGTGTCTGACATTGGATTCAAATTCAGGTCCTCCTGACTCCAAGGCTGGAGCTAGAACAAATCTTTTTATTAAGGGGATTTGTTCTATGAAGTTTGGATTCAGTCAAAGGGCCACACTTGAGGACCGAGGGCCATATGTGGCCTCGAGGCTGCAGGTTCCCCACCCCTGAATTCTAAGCATGAAGTTAGAGAAGGAGGGAACAAGCATTTATTAAGTACCTACTGCATTGCAGGTACTGTTCTAAGCACTTTGTAAATAGTATCTCATTTGATCCTTGAAGGGACCTCAGAGATCATCTAGTCCAGTTTTATAGATGATGAAACCAAGGCCTAGAGGTTGAGATCTTACCCAAGAATCACACAAGATATAAGTTGTAAAGTGCAGGATTCAAATGCAGATTCTTTGACTTGAAATCCAGGGCTTTTTCCTCACTGTTTTTAGAAAGGCAACTGTGTCAGCTTGCTGCAAAGTTCTAAAAGACCTCCGAGATACAGTCAACAATTCCTCAGAACCCTGTCACTTTCAGCCAATTATGACACCATAGTGTGGGATGAGGCAGAGTAGTGTGAAGTAGTTTCTGCCAAGAAGTTTCTGTTGAAAACCTATCCCTCTTCTGGCCTTATTATGTCATTAGCTCATCTTCATACCTTCCAAAATGATATCCTTTCCATGACTCTATTACTGCAAAATAGGACTATCGTGGCTGTTAGATGGGATGGAGACTTAGTTCTAGTACAATCCAGATATTTCCATCTGGGCAGGTGTCAGTGAGGAACACAACATTTCTTTAAGCTCCCGCAAAGAAGTTACTTCCTCCCTCATTGTGTTACTTGTGCTAGTCATTTGTTAAAGGCAGCAGTTGTAATGTTGCTGATCTGGCCTGTGCCTGACTTTGCACAATCGCCAAGTAACACACATTGATTAAGTGCTTACTGTATACTGGTCACTGTTCTAGACTTTGAGGATGTCATCAAAGAAAAGTGAGATAGATCATCCCTGTCCTGACGTTATCGACAACATGTATTTTTTCCTTCCTCCAGTCTAGAAAAGACCTGACCAGTTGTCAGAGGCCTTCCTTTTCAAATAATCAAATACCACTTCACAGCCTCATGGATGAATTTCTCAATTCGCTCTGTGTGTGTGTGTGTGCGTGTGTACCAAAAGACAATTAATGAATACTTAATGATGAGAATAGGCCATTCTCAGAGGCCTTTAGAAAGACCCTCACTGCTAACTGACAACCAGATTATTCCTGAATGTAGGACTGTGCGACCTGGCCACTTTGACTCTTCAGAAGGAGTTTCCTCAGAGGGCTCATGGAGCATTGTTTAGGCCCATGCCACACTCATAGCAAACCCAGAAGCTCAAAGTCAGCCCAATGCACAGTGGTTAAACTTTAATGGGAATTTAATGTCCAATATAGTTGTATCTAATTCACTTGGAGGTTGTCTAATTCACTTCGGCCTGCTTCCCAAAGTGTGAAAAGGGTACATTTGGATCTAGCTCTGAGTGTTCTATGGTCTTGTGACTTTGTAAATGACTTGGCCTCTCTGGATTTCAGGTTCACCCCGAGAATGATGAGTGGACCTGCTTCGAGCAGTCAGCCTCTCTTGACATCAAATCATTCTTCGGCTTTGAAAATGCCGTGGAGAAAATTGCGATGAAGCAGTACACGGCCAACATCAAGAAGGTAAGAAATGGAGCCGGTTAGTTTCACGTGTAACAGACTGGATGTTCAGAAGAGATACTCACTAACAAACAGTTCTTATTATGGTTATAGTCTCCAGAATGTGGAGGACCATTCTTTGGCTTTTTGCTGTCTTTGGAAAATGCCCTTCCCTGGACTGTGGAGCACAAGGCTCTTGTGAAATGAGGGATCTTTATTGTAATGGATCCTGGTTTGCCCACATCTGGCTTTTTGCCCCCATGCAATTGACTACCAACAGCTGGCTAGATGGCTTTACTGCTACTTTCATGGTGGGATGGCTGGAGTCTCCCATTTGCTCCTCTAAGAGTGGCCGTGGAAGCCACTGAGCTCATGGAGGACATCTTTCTCTTCTCTTTGCTTGCCTTGTATTCCAGGGGAAGGAAGTGATTGAGTATTATCTGAATGAGCTGATCTCTCAGGGCATCTCTCACATCCCTCGATGGACACCTTCTCCTGTCAGAGAAGAAGATCAGAGAAGCTTGGCAGGTAGGCAAGATCTAAGCACCCTGTGTGTGGTTTTTAAATTGTCCAGTCTGTGAGAAAAACCACTGAGGCAGAGCTCTGAACCCATGGCATCTTATTAAAGGGTCTATAGTCCCCTCTAATGAAGTGGACCTCAGATCTTCTTCATGATCTGAGAAGCCCCTGGTCCCCAAGACCTTACTTTTATAAGGTGTGATACCCAAATATGCAAAAGAGACATGGTAAAATACAGAATCTCATTGATTAATAGACCTTGCTCTTGAGGGTCAAAAATTAAGATGGGCAAGGCAAGAGTCATCTTTGGTGACCAAGTAGTCATAAGATGGTCATAAAATGGTCACCTGTTCATGTTGGGCAAGAGAGGGTGATCCGGAGGTGCAAAAATAAGTTGGGGGACTTCCAAAAGAATCAAGACATCTCACCCATGTTGGGTTTGGACACAGAATTTGAGTAAAACAGGATGGAGATATCTTTGTCAGCATTCTTGTGGTTGGGCAAATGAGCTTCATAATTGGTAAACAAATAGTGAACATTACATTAAAGTTTGAGGCCTACTATAACCTGTTTTTTCTAATTATCCCTGTATGACTTATGTAAAATATCAAAATGATTAATACTGATTGGAATAGAGTAGGGGTCCAAATGAATCATTTCTCCCACCTGGCAACAGATAGCTTGTAGCCTGTATCGTCCTCCCTTTCCCTTCTCTATCCCCCAAAGTGTACAGCATAGACATGAGGTCATTTCATCTGGAGGGGAGAGATGTGCAGAAGAGTGCAGTTCTGTCCTGAGACTCTTTGGAGCTCCTTCTGGACTTCCTCTTTAGATGCTAAGCTCTTTTAGTAGGTGAAGTTTTTAGTGGTATCAAGATGAAGAAGAGTTCCTGTTGGATGGAGAGTAAGTACTCTTGCTCTGAAGTCATTGCAGCCTCTTCCCCCTTCCTCTCTCTACGTCTTGCCCTTTCCCAAGGAAAGAGAATTGTTTTGGCCCGTGTCCCAAATAGGGTGGGGAACTGGCCAGGAAGGCTTTTGAATTTCCCATACTTCTGTCATGAACTCATAGGTCACTGGTAATGGTAATATAGCTAACATTTCTATAACTCTTTAAGGTTTGCAAAGCACTTTATACAGGTTATTTTTTTTTCTTTTTAGGCAATTGGGGCTAAGTGACTTGCCCAGGGTCACAAGCTAGTAAGTGTCAAGTGTTTGGTATGAGGCCGTATTTGAACTCAGGTACTCCTGACTTCAGGGCTGGTGCTCTATCCACTCAGGTTATTTCTTTTGATCCTATTCCTAACTTGGAGGCAGCTAGGTGGCACAGTGGATAAAGTGCTGGGTCTGGAGTCAAGAAGACCTGAGCTCCACTCTGGCCTCAGACACTTATTAGCTGTGTGACCCTGGGCAATTCACTTAACCCTATTTGCCTCAGTTTTCTCATCTGCAAAATGAGCTGGAGAGGGAAATGGCAAAACACTCCAGTATCTTTTCAACAAAAACCCCCAAATGGGGTCATGAAGAATTGGACATAACTGAGCAACAGCAGGATTCCTAACTCTAAAGCCAGCATTCTAACTGCAGTGCAATGTAACTGCTCCAGTTAACAAGAATTTATGAAGCACTTACTATGTGCTAGACGCTGTGCAGCACTGAGTATAGAAAGGTCCTCCCTGCCCTCAAGGAGCTTATGTTCCATAGAGGACCTTATATAACTGATGTCTCCTTTTGAATAACAGGATAATTATTTCTCCTTTGTTGTTGAGTCATTCCAGTTGTGTCCGACTTTGTGATCCCCATTGGGTCATACTGGAATGTTTTGCCATTTCCTTCTCTAGCTCATTTTTACAGATGAGGAAACTGAGGCAAACAGGGTTAAGTGACTTGCCCAGGGTCACACAGCTAGTAAGTGTCTGAGGCCAGATTTGAACTCAGGTCCTCCTGACTCCAAGGCCAGCACTCTATCCACTGTGCCAAATAACTTCCCATTTCTCCTTTAGTGCTATTGAAACATAGTGGGGTAATTGTCTAACCTTGTGATACTTAGATGACAGGTTAACTAATCTCATGGGGGGTCAGCAAAGAGGTTAAAATTGTCCCGCACTCACTTTTTCCTCAGGAGCAGTATTAGCCTTGCACCTCTGTGCATATCACGCTATGGCATGATTTCTTCTGCCTTTCTCAGTCTGTTCCCTGTGTTTTTTTTAATCTGCTCAGTCTGTCTTCTTCCATTGCCCAAGCATCTGGCTTTCACTGTGGTCTGCTAGAAAGAGGAGCCGTAGCCCTTCCATCCCATTGTGGATCACTGGGTGCCTTTGTGTTTGGGAACAGAAAGGAGGCCTTCACGCTTACATGAGAGACCGGAAGGATTCTGGGATTTTTTTTGTTTTGTGTTTTTCCCTTATCCCTTCCCCCACTTTGCTTTTCGTTCTCCTGTCTCTGCCTGTCTCCAATACATCTGCGATGGTTGGGCTATAATTCTGCTGAGACGATACAATGCTCCCAAGCTCAGCCTCTCTGCTTCCCGTTACACAGATGCCTCTTTGATGCTCGGTTTTGGCAGAGTGGCTGCAGCTTCTAGTCTTATTGTACATTTGGGGGGCTTTGGATCATAATGTCCCAGGAGCTTATGTTCTAATGGGGTAAGAGCTGAAAAGCAAAGGGAGGGAGAGAAAGTATCCACGTGGAGGACATGGTGGCAATGTCCAGAGAATCAGAAGTCAGGCCAGAAGGGGAATAAAAATAATAGAAGCCCCCAGAAGGAACTCAGCTATGGGAGAAGGGGGCTGCCATGGCAGAGGGAGGTACTGTTTCATTTCAAAATGAAAGCATTCATACTGCGTATCACTCCTTACATTATAATTCACATGTCACTTATTAATATATACTGTCTAATTTTCATAACAACCATCAGAGTTAGGTAGATAGGGTAGGTGGTATCTTCATTTTAGAGCTCGAGATCATAAATTTAGAATTGAAAAAGATCTGAGATGTCTTCTGCTTCATTCTTCTCATTTTACAAGGGAGCAAACTGAGGCCCAGAGAGATGGAGTAACTTGGCCGAGATTGCACAGTTTTAGTAGGCATCGGAGAAGAGGTTGAGAAAAATCAGATGACTTGACCAAGATCACATGCAGCTAGCAACATGTTAGGGTTGACCTGGAACCTTAGGTCTCTTTTGGGCAGGTGCACTACACCAAAATTGAAATATGCAAACAATTCACAGATAGTCCTTTATAATCAAATGTTTCTGATCAACCAAAAAAAAAATGGTAAGAATTCCGATGAAGTTGTATGGAATTTTTGAGCTGGAAGGCCTTAAGAGATCTTTATTGGCTTTTGTGACCTTGTTGTCTCCTGGTTTGTCTGCTTCCTTTTGTATGGCTCTTTCTTAATCTCCTTTCATGGATCAGCATACATTTCCCACTAGGTGTGGTTGTTTCCTCTCAGTTCTCTTTTCTATATTTTTTCTCTTGGTGATTTCATCAGCTCCCATGGGGTTCAATTATCACAAATCTACGATACACAAATGATTCCCAAATCTTTTAGCCATCCCTAATCTCCTGTGAATTACAGTTCCATATCACCAGCTGCTTGTTGGACATCTCTGCTTGGGTTTCATATGGCATGAAGAACTAAGATGTCCAAAGTGGGCTCATTATTCTTTCCTCCATCTCTCCCAAAGTAGCATACCCTACTCTATCTTAAAACTTACTTGTTCCTTTTGAGAGTACCAGTCTTCTTCCATTTACATCCTCAGTTATCCTTAATTCTTCATTCTTTTCTGTGGCCATGTCTCACTGCTTATGCAATGTCTTTCATATCTGTTCCCTTCTCTTCATTCACATGTACACTATCCTGGTCCAGGTATGCTTCACTTACTGCTTACACTATTGCAGGAGCCTCCTAATTGGTCTTCCTGCCTCAAGTCTTTCCTCTTTCTAATCCCTCTTCCATATAGTCAAATAAATCTTTGTAAGGCATAGAATCTCAAGTGCTTCCTTTTGCTTTAAGGTGGCATCTATGCAGGTTCTGCTGGTAAATGCTTGACAACTGACCCCCTGAAAAAAAATGTCCATGTGACATACTTTTAAATTTACTATGCCTTGGTAACATTTTCACTTTTTTAAGTCTAAAAATAAACAGAACAATACGTACAGTCCTGATTTTGTAGCATTTGCTAATTTCCGAGGCGTAAATGCTTACACTAAAAATTAACCTTCGGCTCTCTTGAGCTTGTTTGAGCTGGCTCCAGAACACCCCTGCATCCATGTCTGCAATCTGCCTCCCACCTACCTTTCCAGACTTACTTCATATTACCCTCCTTAACACCTGCCAAACTGGACCACTAGCTGTTCCCTGAACCCAGTAGCCTATCTTCCTCCTCCGTGCCTTTGTATAGGTTCTCCCCATGTCTGGATTACAATACCTCCCTTACCAACACCCCTCAGAATACTTAGCTTCCTTCCAGTCTCAGCTCAGGTGTTGCCTCCTACCCAAAAACTTCCCTGATTTTTCCTTCTATCTCCACCCCGGGTATTAGTGCTCTTTTCTTTTTAAAATATATTATACTTACTTATCTATATAAATCTGTTATCCTCCAAGTAGAATTGAGGACAGGCAGGGACTGTTCTGTTTTAACTCCTGTTTTCCTCTCTATCTCTTATTTGGTCATAAACTCTTTCCTTATCCCCATGATCCTCTAATTTGCTTAAGATATCACTATTTATGTCCAAATTGTGTACCCACTTTGATTTTATCTTGATATATGGTGTAAGATGTTGGTCTATACTTGGTTTCTGCCATACTTCTTTCTAGTTTTCCCAGCAGTTTTTGTTGAATAGTGAGTTCTTTTCTCCAAAGGTTGGATCCTTTGGTTTATCAAACAGTAGGTTACCATGGTTATTTACTTCTGTATATTGTATACCTAATTTATTCCATTGATCAACTACCCTATTTCTTATCTAGATTTTTTGGTTATTTTGATGATTACTGCTTTGTAGAATATAG